CCCACCATATTCTGTATGAAGTTAAAACAGGGCTGGGCTGTTTGGGCAAGTTTTACAAACAGTTAAGGGATAGCCAAGGGCAATTACACAAAAACTAATAGGTCAGCACAAGACCTGGTTTGCAATCTGGACCCAGCTCTTGCGTTGACACCAGTTTGCCACCAACCACCGAGAAGTATGTGCCCAGACTCTTCTCCTGGAAGTCTGGGCCCTAGGAAGGGCAGGATCTCCTGCCTGTTCTAAGCTGGGAAATTCCTACAACGCCCACCTAATCAGTGCTGTGTTCCTGGGCTCTAGCAGCTAAAATGTCTCTGACGGAGGGAAATGTAGGGTGAGGATCTGAGGTTCAGATCCACCAAGGCAAATTGGTAGAGACAAGGCTGCTTCCCCTCACCCTGGGAGGCAGATGGCTTCCTGTCCAGCCTCTCCCAGGAATTCTGAACCAGGGGAGAGAAGAGGGAGGAAAAAGCAGCCAGTAGAGAGTACTGGAAATTTATAGCGACTGAGAGATTCCCAGGGAGAAAGTAGACCTTTGTGTTCAAGTCAATTTCAAATCATCACAATCTCCAGAAACACAGCAAGGACAAAATATTGAATAACTGAAATAGGGGACAGATTTGCATACCAAGTGATATAAACTATGCACATGGCAGCCATAATAAGTGAGCTGGGAAGAGGTGGTGTGATTGAAGCTTAGTGAGAAGTTGCCTCACCTTAAAGCACGCCAAGTTTTCTATCTTGTTTATTAAAAAGCTTGTGGATTTTTCCAACATATACAGCTGACCTCATGTCCTTTTGCTACTTCTGTAGCATTTCTAACAGTTGTCCCTTTATCTCTGGAAGACTGATACTCCCTCAATGTGCCACTGATTTTGGGAACGGCCACCCCCACCAAGTTCTGTGTCACACCCACTCACTCAGTGTATCATGTTGGCTCCTCTTTTACAGAAAGGCATGCTCAGATATGGTGTGAGGGGCAGGAAAGAGGTGTCATTCCAGATCAGTTGGGTAGAACACCTACTAGTTAGGAGACGTTTGTGAGTTTGAGCCTCGGGCACACTGGGTCTGTCCTCTGTTCCATGGCTCCCAAGTGCATCCTCAGCATGTATCTGCCCAACTTCATTCAAGATCAGAGTGACTGTACGTCTTGTGGGTGCATCAGCACCTCGTATCACCAGACTTGAGAAACAACTGCCAAATTATTAATCATCTCCATAAGTCAAAGATAGGTATCAAAATATTAAACAAAATATTTTTGTTGTTACACAAAATGTGCCAAATTGGAAGTTATTTCTCAGCTCCAGGCATCTCTCAACTGAATGACATGTACCAAAGAACTAAGCATATCACAAAGTATGACATTCCAGGGCATACTAGGAGTTAGAAGGAAAATAAACAGAGGAAAGGGTAATATTTCAGAAAATAAAAAAAAAAGAAGAGAGCTGAGAAACAGTAATAGTTGGAATTTGTTTCATGGCAGTTCTTTCTGTTTATAATTTTCCTAGTATTCATAATACTAGGTTTAGATTTGGAACTCCCCATCGCAAGTGTCTTTTGCTGTTTTGATTTTTTCTCCAGAAGTTCATGTGCATTTTTTATATCACAATCAATATTTAGAGCACGTTGCATGCAAAGTTCCAAAGTAAAAACATCAATACTAACTAGAAATGCCTCACAACATACAGGTACTTCGTTTTTCCCTTGTACTTTTCAGTCTTTTCCACCTAGACTACCGTAAACATGAACTACTCCGACAACTAGAAGAAACTAGAAGAAAATTACGTAAACTGCCTGCTAATTAAGACAACGCCATTTTACATTCCAGAGTTTGTAATTCATGTGTTGCCCATTCCTTCTTTGACTCTTTAAACAGCCAGTTTTGGAAATGAGATGCTCTGCTTTGATGGTAGGCCAAGATCAAATTAAACTACTCCTGAATTTCACAAGTCTAATATTTCAAATGAGAGATTTCAGCTCACTCCACGCATTTTAACACACTTGTGCTCGATGAAGCACTGCTTATAGAATAATTAGCTTGAATAATGTGTGAAAGCCAACGGACAGTTTTTTAGGCAGTCGCTAAGTGTTCTTCCCTCCATGCTCCCACCAGTGAATGTTCAGAGCTAAAGAGGGAGAAGGGCCTTTCCTTTGACCCAGCAAAGGGGTTCTGCAGCATTATGTGCAATGCTCAGAGAGAAATGCGCACAGATAGGTATCCAGCCAGCCAGATCAGACCTCGTGCTCAAGCACAAGAAAGATTCTGCAGCCTGACTATCACATCACGTCCTACAAATATTATCTACTGCTCCGTCTTGAGTCCTTGTATATGGGACACCAAGAAAAAGGGTGGAGCTTGGGTGTATTTGATCAGCCACTTAGTTGTGGTTTCTATTTTTAAAATCTACCTTTGTGTAACTGATCCTTTTACTTTGTGGGTTAATTTTAATGCTGTCTTTAAAAGGTGATAGCTGACTGAGAGCAAAAGAAAGCAGACACATAAAATGTAGCGCCTCCATGGCTAATCCGGAACTGCCTCAGTCACAGCTCCATCCAATCCAGTTCCCACCCCCGGGCCCGGGTGTGCAGGCTCTTATTTTGGAATTAGACCCAGCTGGGGCTTGAAACTAGCTCCAGACGTTTAGCAGCATTACCAGATGGTGGGATCCTCTAGAAAGTAATTCTACTGTGGGCTTTCTATTCCCTAAGCAGGTCTTTGAGCATAACGTGCTTTCTCACCCAGTCACCAGCAAACTCAGCATTCTTCATCCTAACTAACCAGCCTCCCCCTGTCTCTACTCCAGTAAGAAATTAGGTAAGAGAGAGACCAGAGAGAGAGAGAGGTCAGGGTCCCATACTTCCTGTATTATGTTAGGAGAAGCCAGTATTCTTTTTCTTCTTGGTCTTCATGATTTCTAGCCCCTCCCCAAGTGCCGTTTTTCCCTGTTTTTAGCTTTGTTTTGTTTTCAGAAATCCTTTTCCTCTGCGGTCTTATCTATTCTGTGATCAATTTCAAAAACAATTGGAATCTTTACCAACCATCCGATAGTTGGAGCACAATCTGGGTTTGTATTAAGAAACATCCTTGCCCAAACACCGAATATGCTATTTTCAAAATAGTTTCTCCACGAAATGAGTAGTTGGTTTTGGTGTTTGGTTGTTTTGGTTTTTTTATTTTTGTTCTTGGCCAATTAATATTTCTCCCTTTCCATTCATTTTCATGCCTAGTTCCCACTGATTCTGTGAATTCCCCAAATTTGTGTACTAAATTCCTTTTTCCTTAAATTAGACACTTTTTGGTTAGCTGGCTTTGGTTTAGCCAGCTTAGTCGCTCAATAAACAAATACATTCACTATGCTGTACACCAGAAACTAATACAATATTGTAAATCAACTATCCTTCAATTTTTTTTCAGTTTAAAAAAAACTGAAAAAAAATTAACCAGCATAACTGCCCTCCATCTTACCGCTTGTCTCTTCTCCGGGTTCTAAAATTTCTAGAGATTAAACATGTATTAGATGACAATTATCCAAATGTTATCCCCCAGATAAATTTCCCAGATCAGTAAACTGGAATTAAGTGAATGAGGAGTTAGTTGATATAAGACAGGACTAATTTCAGCAGCTCAAAATCGCGAGGTGAATTCTTAAAAGACACAAAGACGTGAGTGCGCATGTCTGTCTGCAGCACTGAGGGTAAGGACTTGGTTTAGTTTTAGCCATAGTGGGCTTTACTGAAAGACTGTGGTAGGATCCTATCTATCAGTCTTCTGCTCTGATTGCCTTCCTGCTTCTTCAGAAATAAAGGCCACTGGAACAGAGCTAATTGGAACTCTGGGCAAGGGATAAGGGCTGGAGAGGTCATGGGCAGGCAGCCGCAGGATCTGACGTTAGGGATCTCCTTGTATATACCGGGTCGTTCAGATGCTTTTATGAGCATTGTGTCTGCTGCTGCTCTTCACAGCAGCGCTGAGGAAAGGCGGGGCAGATACTATGTTCTTCGTTTTACTGCTGAAACACTGAGCTCCAGAGAAATGAAGTCAGTTTTCAAGGGTCCAAAGCTAAAACCCACGTCTCTGGCTTCTTCAGTAAGGAAACCAAAGAGGTAGGCTGAGTAATGGCGTTGGCTAAAAGAAACAAGTGGCAAATGAGAGAACAGTTGTAGACCTCTAATTATTAATAGCTACTATTGAGTTTATACCACCTGTTAGGTTCTGAGATGCGTCCCTTACCCTGAAGATGGGGCTAACACCTGGTCACCTGAGAGAAGAGATTGGCATTGGAGCATGTGCTTACTTAATGTTTCATGAATAAATGAGATAAGGCGTAAGATGGGATGGGCAACCTGAGAGAGGGCCTTGGTGCCCTGTAAGGTGTTTTGATTCAGCACAGCGGGTAAATAGAAGCCCTTGGAGAGGGTTCACAGAGAAAGCGCTAAATCAAGTTTCCTGTACTGAACATCCGCAAAAACTTTTATACTCAGATTGTGTTTTTTCAATGACTAGGTGTAAAACAAGGAACAAAAAACCGCTTTCCAACAACCCACAGTGGCAAACCCCAGGGGAAACAGTTTTCTTTTCAGCTTTTGGGGTTGCTCTCGTTCCTATCTGCTTTCACCTCCCGAAGTGCGCTATTGGAGCGACCCAAGGCTTCTGAAGAACGGCGGCAGCTTGGAGGCGTTTAATCTTTGTAAATTCAAGCCAGACAGAAAGGCGTCCCCTCCTGGGAGCCCCGGGCGATCGCTGGCTCCGAGCAGCGTCGCCCAGCGGGCAGAGGCAGCGGCTGCGTTCCGGGGCCTCCCTCCTTCCGCCGCGCTCGGCGCCCGCGAGCTGCCACCTCCCCAGGCGGCCGGGGGAACTCAGCGGGCGCTGGGAGGTCGGGCGGCGGCCGAGCGGGTGCCACTATTGGCTGGCGGGGCGGCGGAGGATGGGCGGGGCCGCCGTGATTGGCGGGGGCTCCAGCCGAAGGGGGCGGGGCCGCTATATCAGAGGAGTCCCTGTCGCGGCGCAGACAGTCGGGCTGCTGTGGAGTGCGGCGCCGCGGCGGAGTCCTGGAGAGCCGGTGGGTGGGCGGGCTGGCGAGGGGGTGGCGGGGAAGGCGGCAGGACTGGGGTCTGCAAGGCTGCAGCCTCCCGAGGGCCAGCCTCGCCGAGCCTGGAGCTGGGTCTGAGCCCCGCGCACACCAAAGACGAGGTGGCTGTGGCGGCAGCGGCGGCCCCAGCCATGCTGTGCTATGTGACGAGGCCGGACGCGGTGCTGATGGAGGTGGAGGTGGAGGCGAAAGCCAACGGCGAGGACTGCCTCAACCAGGTGAGGACGAGGGCCCAGACGGGGGCCCTGGCCGGTCCCCCGAGGCTGAGGGGCCTCGCTGTGGCGCCGGGCACCGGGACGCGCCGCTTGCCAGGGGTCGGCGGCGCGTCGGCCCCGAGGGGAATGCGCCTCAGGCGCCCGGCCCGTGCGCCCTCCTCCCTGAGGCGGTGGGGTGCGCGGCCCCCTTCCCCGCGCGCCGGGTGCGCGTGGTGCCTTGAGGGTGAGGGACGCGGGGGGCGGGCTTGCCACCCTTCCCCCTTGCCTGGTACTTTCCCGGAAGAAGGTGTCCCAGCACACCTGAAGCAGGTGTGTGCGTGATGCTGCCTGTCCGGTCCCCGCGGGGCCTGGCAGCTCCACCTGCGTCCCGGGATGAGGTGGACGGAGGTGGTCGCAGGTCCCTCGGGTTGCTTGGCAGACAAGCCGGGACCTTGGTTTTGCTGCTTCTCAGACGGACCGTTCACCTACCTGCATCTCCCGATTTGCGGGGGACGAGAGGATGGTAGATTTGGTTCATCTACTCCTCTGTTGTTCTTAAGCACGCGTTTCCTTAACAGTTAAAGAAGAACGGTTCCAAGCAGTGCATAGTGGTATGGCAGACGGCAAATTGGATCTCAAGTGAAACGCTGTGCCCTTAAAGCCCCTCGACTTGAATGTTTGGAAAACCTCCTCTAAAGCTTAGATGACACTTGTGGCGTGTTTCCTCACTGTGTTTGTTTTCTTGGAGTCCAGATGGTTAAAACTGTCCAGATAATAAGCTGCCAAATCAGCTGTGCAGTTTGTGCTGGTGGAGGGAATTCCGATGATTGGAGTAAGAAGGAAAACACCCCATGGATTCCCCCTCCTCAGCCTTTCTGGAAGCCTACGTTTTGACAATTCCTTTTGAGCCTCTGTACTGCATCTAACGGTTTAGCATCACTGGAGGCTTAGAATTTTGTTCTTCTGGGTGACAACAGGAATTGTAACACGGTGGTTGAACTTTATAAAAAAAGAAAGTTGTCAGCAATCTTAGACTCAGTTGGAATCCCTGGGTTTGCTTTGATTTCATGGACCTCTTGCTCATCCACACTGCATTCATTTTTGTTTTAGGTGTGCAGGCGATTGGGAATTATAGAAGTTGATTATTTTGGACTGCAGTTTACGGGTAGCAAAGGTGAAAGTTTATGGCTAAATCTGAGAAATCGGATCTCCCAGCAGATGGATGGGCTAGCCCCTTACCGGCTTAAACTGAGAGTCAAGTTCTTCGTGGAACCTCATCTCATCTTACAGGAGCAGACTAGGTAAAGTGACTGCAAAATAAACCAATGTCAAATAGATCTCTGATTCCACTTAAGAAGGGCCATTGCACCCTCCCAGAGATGTTCACAGGCAAATGTTTTCCTAACTTAGAAGTTTTCCATAGCACAGTTCTTTAGTTAAGGTGAAAAGAGTTGCTGCATAGTTGGCCTGGGATACATTTTCCAACTCTTCCTGTGTTTTTCTTGTCTTTATAAACAATGGCAGAGCAGGGTTGAATTCTTATAAACATTTGAGAAGAGTGCCACAACGCAAAAAATTTTTAAAAAGGAAAGAAAGAAAGAGAAAAAAAAGACCCAACTGACTTCCTGATAGCAGCATTTACTGCCCGAAAGTAACCTCTGCCTCCGCGGTGTTACTATAGTTCATTGTAGACTGCTCTAACAGAAAGCAGGAAACAGTTCCTCTTGGGTTTCTTAAACTTGGTCAACTTCTTCAGCCTAGTGTCAGATTACAGTGTGTAGCAAAGAGCTCTGTCCGACTTAACGCAGAATTTTAAAAGTTTTTAAGTTTCTTGAAAACTTAGTAAGAAAACTCTTTTAGGGCCGGTAGTAACCGAACTCCACCCCACAGATATGTTACACGTGATGGTTGAGTTTAGATTGTTAAATTTATCTCTTTACTTCTAGAAAACCACCAGTAACGGTAGATAATTGGAGAATGTGGTTTCCTTTTTCAAGCAGAAAATGGTTTCTCCCCTGGACAGGCTGTAATACTTTTCTCAAGGATGAGCCAAGCTAGGAAACTAGTGTTTAATATTTATCGCGGAAATGCAGGACACCTAAATTTATAGTGGCATGTTAAAAAAAAAAGGGGGGGGATGACTTTTAAAACACAGCAAACTTTGGATCTAAGTTCTAATGTTTTTCATAATCCTTTGGCTTGGGACTTTGCCATGCACATGAAAAATGTAAGTGTGACAGTTTCTGAGTAATGATGAGTGAGCCTTTAAGAGTTTTTAACATGTCATTTTTTGGTTGTTGTTTACCAAAGAACAGATAGACACATATTTTGAAATACTGTTCATTTGAATTTGAAATCTCTGCCTTGCTTTATTACGGAGCTTTGAAGGGTGAGGGAAATGTTCAATCTCGTATCTGAGGGAAGCTAATGTATTGAATTCTTAGTGATCCTGAAAATGTCTTGCAAAAATATTCAAGAGATTCCAAATTTAAGGATGCTTTAGATGTCCACGTCAATCAGAATAGGTTGGGCTTTCTTTGTTTCTTTCTTTCTTTCTTTATTTTAACTTCAAGCTGATTTCTGAACGCTTCCACTGTGCACGTCCATGTGATAACTTGCAGTCCAGTAAGAGAAAAAAACATATATACATATACATAAAAACACATCTTAGAATTTCCATTGTGTAGCTTTATCATGATTTTCCAATTATTTCAGGGCCTCCAGATGCAAATCTATTTTGATGACACACATTTATTTTTTAAATCTGCAGAAGTTTGTAGGGCTGAATGCATCATTTAAACAATGGCTGCAGTCATAATAGTAAATGTACATTTGTATTATGAATGTTTACAGAATAAAACTACTAGATAGCCTTAACCTGTGCTTTCCTGTAACTGAGTTAATAACTATTATCAAATCCACTTTATCCATGCAAGAAATAGAGACATTTTATGAATTGGAATTAAATTTCCTACTTTATTGACTCAATTGACTTTGCCTCTTGAGATTTATGCCTAATAGCACTCAAAGAATGCACATACCTAGTTAGACTAGCTATTTTAATTGATTTTAATTCCTTTTGAAATATAGAAAAATTTGTGTGATCTAAACTTTTGACTTTTAAGATATTGGTAAATTTTACTTGTTTTTGTGGGATTGTATGAAATACAGAATTTTAAGAAAATGCCACCCAAAGTTTATATGGCATTCTGCTTTAATAACTAGATAAAGTGATTTATAATTGGTGTCGTACCATTTCATCAGGATGAGACGTTGTACTGGGTCCAGTTTAGTTACAATTAATGTTTTTATGTGCATGATACAATAGAACAGAAAGGCTTATTTTCTCTAATGTTATGTTAGCAAGATAAAGCTGGCTGATAAACTTTTTGATGTTTATTTGTTATAAAATATTTATATAAAATGCCACAAAAGTAAAATAGATCTGTTTATGTAGTGAGTAAATTCAGCTTTGCCAGTCCAGTTATGAGAGGTGATGCTTTACCATCTCTCAGTCAAGTCATGAGGATACATTTAGTATCTTGAAAGTGTCTGGACAGTTTATTAAACGGTGCTGAAATATCCTGGCCAAGTTGTCCTCTGGACAATTAAAGCAGCCTGCTCACCGTACAGCTGGCCTAACTGGGGGGCAGTTAATACATTAGTTTGCATCAGATTAGGGAGGCTGTGAGGCTGACAGGCCTGTTTGTAATAGGAGAGTTCCAGGGGCGAGGCAGAAGCCCTGCATTCTAGGTCCAGCCCAGCCACCAACCACCAGCAGATAGAGACTTCCAAGCTGAAAGCCCTGGGAGAGATTGTTTCTAAAATCCCTTCTGGTGGTAGACTGTTTTTTTTCTTTGCTTGTGCTTCCTCTCCATATTATTTTCTTAAGGCTTTTTCTAAATACATTTCTCTGAAGATAGAAAAAAACATATCCAGTGTCTGCTTAGATTGAGAGACAGAGTTAGTCTGTCTCTGATGTGGCCTAATTTTAGATTTGATTCTTTACCCTGATTATTATGTGTGCTCTTGAATGGGGGGCTCTGGGAAGTAACTGGAGAGTCTCATTTCCTTTCAAAGGCTCTCAGTTATTCACGGCAATTCAGACCAGATTTTGTCAACATTTTCAAAACCAGAGATTAAAGAATTACATGCTTCATCTTCAGGGGTGGTAATTATACCATCCACTGCCAACAAACTCTTTATATTTCTCCTGACGTTTTAGAAGAGCTCTGTGATCTTTGCTAGGGGCACCCTGCTTAGTTAAGACTTACCAACACCTGAATTCTCTATCCCGGAAAACAACCCCAATACAATTACATGTTCACAGAAATGCTGTAATCTCTAACGTTGAATCTCTTTAGGGTTTTTTTTTTAAGGTGTAAATTTTTTAAGTATAGTCAGTTTACAATGTTGTGTCAATCTCTGGTGTACAGCATAATGTTTCAGTTATACATATACATATATATATTCGTTTACATATACTTTTTCATCATAGGTTACTATAAGATATTGAATATAGTTCCCTATGCTATACAGAAGAAACTCATTATTTATCTATTTTTTATATAGTAGTTAGTATTTGCAAATCTCAGATTCCCAATTTATCCCTTCCCACCCTCTTTCCTTCCTGGTAACCATAGTTTGTTTTCTATGTCTGTGAGTCTGTGTCTGTTTTGTAAATAAGTTCATTTGTGTCTTTTTTTTTTTTAAGATTCCACATATGAGTGATATCATATGGTATTTTTCTTTCTCTTTCTGGCTTACTTCACTCAGAATGATGATCTCCAGGTCCATCTGTGCTGCTCCAAGTGGCATTATTTTATTCTTTTTTATGGCTGTATAATATTCCACTGTATAAATATACCACAACTTCTTTATCCAGTCATCTGTCAATGGATTTTTAGGTTGTTTCCATGTCTTGGCTCTTGTAAGTAATGCTGTTTTGATCATTGGGGTACATATATCTCTTTGAATTAGAGTTCCCTCCAGATACATGCCCAGGAATGGGATTGCTGGATCATATGGTAAGTGTATCTTTAGTTTTTTAAGGAACCTCTTTTCCATAATGGCTGCACTCCATACTACATTCCCACCAGTAGTGTAGGAGGGTTCCCTCTTCTGTACACCCTCTCCAGCATTTATAGTCTATGGACTTTTTAATGATGGCCATTCTGACTGGTGTGAAGTAATACTTCATTGTAGGTTTTTTTAAAAATTTTTTAAAAAATGTTTAATTTTTTCATTGAGGTATAGTCAGTTTACAATGTTGTGTCAATTTCTGGTGTACAACATAATGCTTCAGTCATACATGAACATACATATATTCGTTTTCATATTCTTTTTCACCATAAGTTACAAGATCTTGAATATAGTTCATTGTAATTTTGATTTGCATTTCTCTGATAATTAGCAATATTGAGCATTTTTTCATGTGCCTGTTGGCCATTTGTATGTCTTCATTGGAGAATTGCTTATTTACGTCTTCTGCCCATTTTTGGATTGGGTTTTTTTTTGTTGTTGTTGTTGTTGTTATTAAGCTGTATAAGCTGTTGATACATTCTGGAAATTAAGCTCTTGTCAGTTGCATCATTTGCAAATATTTTCTCCTATTACGTAGGTTGTCTTTTTGTTTTGCTTATGATTACCTTTGCTGTGCAAAAGCTTATAAGTTTAATTAGGTCCCATTTGTTGATTTTTGCTTTTATTTCTATTGCCTGGGTAGACTTCCCAGGAGAACACTGCTAAGATTTATGTCAAAATGTTTTGCCTATATTTTCTTCTAGGAGATTTACAGTGTCTTGTCTTATGTTAAAGTCTGTAAGCCATTTTGAATTCATTTTTGTGTGTGGTGTGAGGACATGTAAAGATGCGAGCAGTGATGGGTATAACTTCAGACCTCAGCTCACTCTCCCTCCTTGGGAAAGCCTTCTCTAGGCCTGCTCAGGAGACTAACCTCTCCCAAGACATCATGTAGCTTTCCTTTGTAGCATTTAATGAGTGTGTAACACTACATTTACTTACGTGACTATTTGTTTATTGTCAGCCAGTCTGATAGTTTATATTCCATCAAGCAAGGAGCTGATCAACCTTGTGTCCCCAGAGTCTAGCAAGTGCCTGGTGCGTAAACATTTGTTGAATCAACTAATTAAGAACTTGGAAATAAATTAAAATGATGTAGACTGCTACTGGTAATACACATTTTTCTCATTGATACTGAAATGCTTGCCACTTTGCTCCTGTAACCTGAAAGGCTTGAGACTGTTTAAAAGAAATCTCACCATTAAAAATGTTTTGCAAT